GCCCGTGCAATGAAACGAGGCCACGTCTGGCTTCCAACCCAGGACTGCCTAGTTCTAAAACTACATTCTCACAGCACTCCACTGCCTTTGTGTTCAATTTCCAACAGCTTTCAGCCCATCCCAACGCCTACCCTGGGCTGGTGTTCTCTGCTGGCCCCCAGAGTAAAGCTGGCTATCTATGGGCAATGATCCAAAATTCTCAGCAGTGTCCAAGGAGTGGACTTTGCCCCTTGGGATCAAAGCATTTAAGCCAGGGTTTGAAGAGCATCATCCCACAGAGAACAAGAATTCGGCCTTAGGCATAACCTTTGACCTCAGGCAGGGGCTTTCCAGCAAGGCTCCCAGCAAACACATCATGTCAGACATTGGGGGACACAAGCCAGCTTAAGTGTCAGCTTCCCAGAAAGAGACCTGAGGCAAGAGAGATGAGGGGGCCTGCGGAAGGAAGCTTCCAAGGCCCCCTCATCATATCATTCAAACCAACTTGCAATGGCTGAGCCATGAGTCCAGCACTGTGTGGGGGCAGAGGACCCCCAGAGAGGGTAGACACCATCATCTCTGCCCAGTGAGCTATTAACTCTGCCACCTGCAGCAATGACCCTCATCCTATGCACTCTGTCTCTCCTGGGGGCACCTACACCCACTCAGTGACTCAAGAAGAAAACCAGGGAGTTGCGTGGGACTCCTGCCCACTCCTGCTGCATGCCTGGCTATGCCCCAGAAGCTCCTAACCTCTAACATCCTTGTACCTACTGTGGCTGCCCTGCGTGGTCACCCTCACAGCCCCAGCGCCTGGGCCAGCTCCCTGGACAGTCTCTTGCCCCCCATCCTCCTCTCTCCCCTTTTCTCCTCTGCAAGGTCCGAGTGATCATCCTCAGCAGCACATGGCATGCAAAGCCCCAGCGGCTCCCCACTGCTGTCAGGATGGCGTCAACTCCTCAACATGGCTCTGCAGGCCCTGCCACCCGGAGGGCCCATGCCCCTACCCACTTTCTTGCTCTTACATCAGTGCCCACGCACACCCTTCCCTCCTTGACTAAGGCTTCTTGACCACGGCAACAGCAACACCTGGGGCCAGAAAATTCTTGGTTGTGGGTCTATCCTACGTGCTATAGGACATTCAGCAGCGTCCCTGGTCTCTACCTATTAGATGCCAGTAGAACCTCCTCCCAATTATGCCAACAAAAAATATCTCCAGATACTGCCAAATGTCCCTGGGGGCAAAATGGCCCCAGGTGAGAACCAGATGCTCGGCACCTTTGCTCATGAAAGGTGCTTCTCCTCTCCCGTGCACCTGGTTTCTTTTCATCCTCCTGTTATCAGCCACGTGGCCTCCCAGAAGCCGCCCTGGCTTGCCCAGGCTGGTCTAGAGGCAACTTCCCAGGACTCCTCACCCCACTTCCCTTTGCACAGCTCCACCACTGCTCCCTAACACTGCATTCCACTGATCAGCTGATGCGCCACCCCCTCTGTAAGGCAGGCTCCTTGGGGAAGACAGAGTGGAAGGACTGACCTGCAGAAGCCCAACGAACAATGTGCTCACAGAGTCCTGCTTTGTTTGCAGTTAAACAGGTGTCTTTATTGCAGGACTTCTCAGAGCTTTTAATATGCTCACATACCAGGTTAAACCTTACGGGGAGGGAGATGGGCATGCAGTGCTGCACTCTCGTAAGTGACCACAGAGCCTCTCAAATGATCACAGTGGAACAGTCTACCCTTTGAAAATGCTGCTCAGAGTTGAGTCACATGAGCTACATCTTGAGGAGATGCTCAAGGGAAGGACAATGGATTTGGGGACAATGGCTCTGGGGGTTGTTGGGAGGCCTCAGAGCCAATGCTGGGGACTCAGCCACAGGCTCAGCCACTCTCCTAGCCCCTTGCTCCCTAGCCTAGGGGCACGTGCAGCACTGAGATGTAGAAAGAAAGGGCTCCTGAGAGTGACTACAGGAGGACTGGAGGGCAGTGCAAAATTTATTGGAGAAAAACAGTCGCCCCATGGGATTGCTTCAATCTCCCCCAGGCCCCTGGGCCGTAACATATGGAGTGGTTTAAATTTTTTTAATTGAGGAGTACTTAAGGAAAAAATGTTGGCAGGCTTGGAGGCCCTTGTAAAACTGTCTGAGCTGCCTGGGAGTCTGGGCCCCTTCCCTCCAGGAGATGGAGGCTGCACTGAGGCGGGTGGGGAGGTCTGGAGGGCCCAGATTGGGGTCTGCTAGCAGGGGCTTCTGGGGGAGGTTGGCTGGCAGGTGGGAAAAAGAAAGCGTCCCCCCCACAGCCACCTTGGATGGGCTGAAAGAGAAGGCCACGTTCCCACTGCTGATCACAGCCAGACAGTCAGATGCGCTGGCATCTGGGGACAGCAAGGGGCAGCAGTGGGAACAGTGCACCCCACACGGGCGAGATCAAGGGTTCTGGGAACACCCTGACCTGCGCACAAACCCTGGTTATGTGACCTGGGACAGTGACAGCCCTCCTGAGCCGCGTCATCCTCATCTGTGAGATGGAGCCATAGGAAGATGCCATGAGATGACAGCAACAATGGAGTGAGGGAGGGCACCTGCACACAGTGGGTCCTCAAAATGTGTCAGTTGCCATTGTTTGGGGGGAACGCAAACAGGTGGGCAGCCGCAAAGGAGCTGGATGGGCAAACTTGAGCCACTGTGTAAAATGCCTTCGTCCGGGGCATCTGAAGATTGTCAGCTATGCAAGTTACTCCCCTCAGGGCCCTGGCAGGTGCCTGTCAACAAGCCTGTCTCTCATTTCCTGTAGGCTGGGACCATCACCGGCAGGCCTGGGAGCTGGTGTTTTTGTCCCCCCAGGGTATTTATACCCCTCAGGGGGGGGTGCCTCCTCTGAGTTCCTGTTCATGCCCACGGTGGTCATGCTGTTTCAAGTGGCAGCAAGATGAGAAACATCTGCCTGCAGCCTCACCACCACCTCAGGGGCGGGGACCCTGCTCAGACACGCCTCCTAGACCACTTCTGACCTAGAGACGTTCAGAGGCCAGCAAGGCCTCTATCTGGAACAAAGCGAGGCAGGGCTGCCCAACAGCTCTGCAGAGGGTGCAGGAGCCCCTTGGCAGAGGGGGCTGGCCCCGTTCAGCGTCTAGAGGTGCTTTATGAACACTGATCCTCTCGTTTCTGAAATGTGCAAAGGCCCTGGGTGTGCTTGCCATACCCATAAAGAGAAGCGTGTGATTACGATGAAGCTGCAAAGGAAAGCCACGAGGACATGCCCAGCAGGGGCAGGAGCAAGGGACACAGGGGACACCCCTGGGTGGGAGGCTGGCTGCCCCCTTGGAGATGCCCACTGGCCGCCTGCAGATGCTGGAGACAGGCCACCTGCACCAGAGACAGTCCATCTGTGCAGGGGAGTGGCGGGGGCCTGATTTTAAACTCTGCAGGCGCTATTGTGGTTTTAAAGCCCTCATGTCACCTGAGATGCCCTCACAGGGGGTTGCAGGCTTTCAGCAGCCCGCCTGTTGCCAGAAGAGCGACCTGGACCCTCTGCCCATAATCCTCCCTGTCTCCTGCGTGGACGCCAACCTGTGCAGCTGCAGCAGACGTGTCTCCTCAGCTTTAGCATAATCATGAGTGGACACCAGCCCTGGAGGTCAGCGCCCCCAACATGGGAGGCACCTGGGGCCTTTCGAATTAAGCTAACTCAGAATCAACTGACTGACTAATAACCTCAGGTGGGCCAGGGGCCACCTTTCTTCAGGGGCTAAATGTCACATCCTGGGAGTCTCTGTATGTCATTGTCAACACATCTCTCCCCAGCTGGAAGCATCTCCCACTCTTGGTTTCTCGTCTGGTTCTGGTCTCGTGATTCACTTGTCATTCCCTCAGTGTGGGCTTGCAGTGGACAGAATCTGTGACAGTCCAATGGGCAGGGACCCTCTGAGATTATCTGCTCCTTGCCTCGCCCATTTCACAGCAAACAGCATTGAGGCCAAGGAGAGGAAGACACATGGTAAGTCAGGGCTGGGGCCAGTCCTGACCTGTGTGCCTGCCACATGTATGTGGATGAACGGATGGCTGGGACCCCATCACACACGCTGTGGCGACCTCAGTCCACTGGCAGCCTGGGGAACGGGGAGCCCTTCCTGCAGGGCTGGTGCCCACAGTGCCCAGGTCCTGGGTGAGAATGAAGCCACCACTGGCCCATAGGCCACCCTCAGAGCTGTCCCCATGCAGGTCTCATCTCAGCCTCTTGAGGCTTCTGGGGGACATGGGAGGCTCAGGCAGGGAGAGTCGCTTTTAAGGGAGGGAAACTGAGGCCCAGAGAGGGAACATGACCACTGGGGTGGGCAGCGGGCCTAGAACTCCAGGACCCCAGACCAGGCTCTTTGAACCAGATAGAGAACCTGTTTATCTGTCAAGTTGGGGTAAGAAGGAACAGATTCCAGGGAATCACGGCTGCCAGGACCCCAGGGGACGGGCTGCCCTCTCCCTTCAGCCCTGGGGGATGATCCTGAGGGGGTCACGGTGGCTCCTTGCCCTTTAGTGTCCTCCTGGACATATTCAGAATACCCTGCATTCCATGTGTGTCGACTGACAGTGCTTCTGCCAACAGTTTCACCCACCCTTTTCTCCTCCTGATCACCCCCAGGCCTTCCCTTCTACACCGGCCTCCCCGAGCCACCCCTGCTGTGCTCTTTCTTCTGAGCACTCCCGATGCCTGCCCTGGCCGGGCCTTCACCCGTCCTGCCGCAGATGCTTGGGTGTGAGCAGCGGGCACACATGGGACCCTGGAGGGGACTGGGCCCTCGAGAAGCAGGGATCCCCACCCAACCCCAGGCTGGCCTGGACCACCCACCTGGCCCCACCAGACTTGGGCACTCTCCAGGGGAAGGTGAGAATTCTGGGTCCCTGGAGACCAACAGCAGCCACCAGCCAGAAACCTTGCCGTTCCCCACGAGGCCTGGCACAGACGTGGGGCCCACATTCCTTCAGAAGGCCTCCCATTCCTTCCGTTGTGGGGTGCAGGCAGCCTCTTACCTTTGGGGTGAGGTACTTGGTCATAATTTCCTTCCCTTTTTCTCCCAGTTTTTCATCTGGAGTAACTTCATATTCTGCCTAAAACAGAAGAAGGAAAAGAACAATAATAGATTTGCTCGAGCCTTTTATAGTTAGAGGCCCCTGGAGAAGATGCCCTGGAGGTTAACTGACCAATCCCCTCCTTCTACCAGGCAGGGCGCTGAGGCCCGGAGAGGGGAGACCTGGCTAAGGGCCCTGCCATCCAGCCTACTTTGCAACATCCATGGGCATGTGCTTAGAATAGCGGTTCTCCCCTTGAGCTGCATGTTAGAATCACGGGGGAGCAAACCCTGGTGCTCAGGCCCCCTCCCCCCCGCCAACTGAGTCAGACCCTCTGGTCATGAGAGCTGGGCATCCGGGCAGCTGGGGTTGAGAACCACTGACTTCGGTAAATCAAAGGAAGCCATTGAAAAATAACAAGCCACCAAACCAGAAGGCCCCCACCAGTAGGCTGCCTTAGGTCACTCAGACCTTACAAGCTGTGTGACCTTGGTCATTCTCCTTAACCTGTACAAAATACAGATAGAAAAAGCACATAATAAATACTCCACGATGGTTGCCATTATTATCACCATTGTTAGTACACCTTGCAAGAGAATACAAACATATAGGTACCTTACCTTTTACAGCTTTACCTTTTAGTTTATAAAGTGAACACAGATTTCTCAAATGCTCTTATCTGAACCCCAAGAACCCTACCGTTATGACCTGCATCCACACATGCCCAGGGTCATTTGGCGGAGGTGGTGGGGCTCCCAGCCCACAGCTCTTTTTCAACAACACCAAGGAATTTAGGACTCCAGGATGCCGGCCATGCCAGTGGGACCGAGCTCTAGAGAAGTGAGGCCTTCTTTGTAAGCCATCTGAAAGACGGACCTTTTTATTGCTTTGCGCAAAGAGGGCCCCTTCACTCATATCTGATGCACTGTCAAGTGGATAACAGGCCTCACGTTAATGAAAAAGAAGCCTGGATAAGCTTGCCTTTCTTATTTAGACAAGGGACCTAATTGCAAATTGTTCATACCATTTCAAACTCCACCACTCAAGGCTTTGTTAGCCTCAGTCCAAAAGCACAGCTATTTCAAAAGAGACAGAGGAAATGACATCAACACAGACGGACTGAAACTCTCCCCAGCCACCTCACTGTGAATTAGACGCCCCAGCTCTCTTGGCCCGGTTCAAGGCAATCTGTCAACCCAGTGTCTAGGGTCCAATTTCTCCCCAGGATAGCCCAGGAGACCCTCCCAGAAAAGGGGAAGGGCAGGCCGCCATTGGAATGCCCACAGATGCAGCCAAGCACATCTCCATCCAAAGTGTTCCTGGTACTATTATTTCTCCTCTGATGGAGAATCAAGATTCAATGGTTTTCTCCAGGGAAGGAACACTCATGCTTCAATCATTTGACTCAGAGGCTGTGGGTTAGTGGTTCTGGGAAGAATCTAACCCCTTTACAGAGCTGGACACCAAGGCTCAGAGAAGTGAAGGACTAGACCAAGATCACACAACTGGTTGTAGCAGAGCCAGGAAAGGAGCAAGGGCCTCCTGACCTCCATGGGGCCACCAACCTTTTCTCCAAAGGCCAATGCCCCCTCACCTTAAGAACTATCATTCATGATAAGTTGATTTGATTGATGACTTCTTGGGACCATTTAAGGAGAGAAGGTAGCTCCTTCTTTTTGAGTTTTTCCTGTTATTTTCTCCCTCTGCCTAAAACTAACACATGTGTGCATGCACCTCACCACACACAGTGTGGAGTAGGTACTAGGCTTACCCTACAAGACTGGCATTATTCCCAATTTACAGATGGAGAAACTGAGGCCCTGAGAGGCCAAGTAACCAGTTCAGATACAATGGGGCTATCAAGTGACAGGGCCAGGAGCTGCATCTCCACTGGGGTAAGGGTTCTGCAGCACAGCTGATCACCCTTTTTCCAGGGTGAGGAGAGATGCACCATGTGTCCTGCTGCCCTGGAAGACCCCCTAGTGGTCTGGCACCATGGGGATTTACCCAGATTGCTTTGCAAGGCCCAGGCCCCAGGCAAATGGCTGACCACGTTTTGGGGTAACTCAATCCCATGCAGAACCCTGACTGTGCACTGTCCCAAAATACATCTGTAAAGGAGGCTCTATGTAACCAAATAGAGGCCTGAGGCTCATTAATCAGCCTCAATAACCAGCTGAAAATATTATTGCTCTGGGTACTAAAACCCACGTTAAAAAAATAACATGGCTTTCAGGTCAGCTGCCTCCCAGCAGAGGCCAGACTGGGCAGCTGGGCGCCACAGTTCCACAGGGCGGCAGCCGGGAGCACGCGGGGACAGGCGTTCCCGGCCCGGCATCAAAAGGCCTTTCTTTGAGAGTCCACGTCAGGTCACCACCACTTGAAGAGCATTTGTGTTGGGAGGCAGAAAACCGACAGAAGGCTTCCAGCTGAGCTTTCCACACTGATTAAGTCACCTGGAGTGACAGGCCATGTCTCCACAGTGAACCCCCAAGAGGCCTGAGAGGCCTCCTGCAGAGAAGGCACCACGGTGGCTCGGCTGGGTGGGCAGACCCAGGCAGGTGGGCACCACCCGGCAGCCCACTGCTGTGGGAACGGCCTCACCCAGGTAGACGGCAAAAGCTGCTGAAATTGGTTTCAACCAGAAAACATCAGCAGCAAATAAGAGGTTGGGCCAACAGCCTAGACTTTTACAATTAAAGCTGTCCTGGGAAATGGCAGACAATGGCCTCAATGAACAGAGAGGTAAGGCACATGCAAGAGATGCCCCCCAACTTGACAGGGTGGTGGGCCTTATCCCCCCAACCAGAGGGGACACACACTCCCCTCTTGCTTAAGGCCCATTTGGAACCTCCTCCTGCCCAGAGCTCAACCCTAAGAGCCAGAGCACTAACGGCACCTATGCCAATCCCCTCAGCGGGTATTGCTCTTCCCCAGATGTGTCCTGAGTGCCAACCGAGAGCTGAACCATTTAATGAGCCTTCCCTGTGTGCTGTGATTTATGCCAAACACGGGAATGGCCCTTGGGGAGGAGATGCCACTCTAACACAAAGAGCAAAACACTACATTGAGTTTAAGGCAAGAAGAATTATTTATAGATCTGTGCCTGCCAAAGAGTATAAACATCTGTGTACATCCCAGTTTATAACCCTAATATTTCATTCTCTTGGCCTGCTCTAGTTGCATCATCAATCTCGGGAAAACACCGGTGAAAACATGTCCTCTCTATTAAAACACATTTCCCTCAGATGGTTTTTAAAAACATAAGACTGCAAACCAGTAAAAGGGGACCAGCCATGGTTTCAAAGAAGCCAGCGCTTAGAGAGCAGAGTCAGAGCTGAATTCCACTTGGCCTGTGACAGACTTTAGACATCACCACCCTCTCCCGGGAGACCATCCCCTAGCCTGACAAGAAGATGAAGTCAGAGCTGCTATGAGGTCTTGCCACCTCCGGCTTCTGTAATTGCTGATGGGGTGAGCTTCCCCAGACTCCTCGCAGCAGGAGCCAGCGACACACCTGGTTGGCTGTGCTGTTCACCGCAGCCCTTAGTGGAAAAACGCCCAGCTGCACCCACAGGGCCGGGATCTCCATCCCTGCAGAGGCACTCTCCATCCTGCCACAGGGCAGCTGAGAGTGTGGATGGGGCCACCCGCTGGTGCCCTCCCTGTCTGGATACCACGGGTGTCTGTGCCCCTTTTCTGAAGACCCAGCTCCTGAATGCTGGCCTCTCCCACCCATTCCTGTCCCTGTCCCTGCAGGCCTAGAGGTGTCCGAGGCTCAGTTCTGCATCGGCCACTGCTGATGTCCCCAGCCTGCCTAGCACTTCATCAGTGGCCCTGCACTCACACGTAGGTGGGCCATCTGTTTCCTGCTGGGACCCTGACAATTCTCCAGATGGCTGGGCACTCACCTTGCCCACTCTTCACTCCCCAGCCAGAATGAAGGAGCACCACAGGTGGGGGTGTCCCCCAGGCGCCCAGGATCCGAGGGGCCTGGGCAAAGCCTGTGCCCACCTGGGGAGGCAGACTGTTCTCTGATCCCTGGCTGCCATCTGAGGGGCCTGGGCCAGGAAGGGGTTCACTGGACCCCATAGAGCAGCACATGGGACAGAACAGAGAAAGGAGGGAGGGAGGAGCTGACCCCTGGCCATGCTGGGGTACAGACTGAGAGTGGTAGGGGTGACTCCAAGGTGACCCAGGACCTCACTGACAGCACCACAGCCACCAGCTTGTGGAACACAGCCTGCTGGGCAACCGTGGAGAGGAAGGCGGGAAGGGCTGCCGTGCCTCTGAAGGGACACAGGTACCAGCAGCGGACAGGGTCCCACGGCAGAGGGGCTGTGCTGTCACCTCCTGCTGGCCCTATCAGTTCTTCCCTGAGAGCCTCAGCCCGCGGTGGCCCTAGCCCCCTCCCACCACTGCCCCTGCACCACCTGGCTCCTTCCCTGCGTCCCCCAACCCCCAGAACCATGTCTCTGTCCTCACCCCTCACTGAGGCTCATATGCCACCATGCAACCCTGATACTTTCAGCTCTACGTGCAAAGAATCCCAACCTAATTTAGTTCAGGCGAAACTGTAATCTCTCAGCTCCTGGAATCCAGGGATGGGTTGAACAGCCAAATTGTGGGGAGAATGGAAACACAGCTGTGCCCAGAATGCCAGAACCAGTGACAAGAGCACATCTGGAAAGCACTCTCGTGTGAGTGAGTGTGTGTGTGTGTGTGTGTGTGTGTGTGTGTGTGTGTGTGTACACACCTCATTCTCTCTCAGGGCCGACTGGCTTGCTCCAGTGGTAGGACACATAGCAGTCAATGGCACTCAGGTTTTCATGTTACAGCTTCTCCACCAGAGGAAGACCTTCCCTCACTGGCCTACAGTGGCTCATGGGCTCATCCCTGCTCCAATCAGCTGCGGTTTGGGGGTGAAATCAGCTTCAAAGACAGCCATTTTGTTTGGAAGTATGGGTAGGGCACCCAGGAGACTGGACAATCCCACAGATGTCCACTGTATGGACCCATTTTGTAAGTGGTGCTTTTCC